TCCTCCTGCTGTGTGGATTCGACTCCCAAAGAGGACGCGAGTTTTTCACAATTGGGTCAATTGAATTATTCAAATTATCCAAACGCCCGTAATAAACCACCGTAGTTTGTCTATAATTTAACGCAAATCCGCCTGTATTGTGGGGGGGGGTTTCTGTCGTCATGTCCTGTTTAATGGACCATATTAGTAGTCCTTACCGATAAAATCTGTTCAAGTGCAGATATGCGAGTCAATAAACTATGGTAGAGGGTGCGCGCCACAGTCACGTCACAGAACCAACTCCAGTAAGACAATTTCACATCTATCAATACATGCAGAGGGAGACTAGGAGTGTGGCCATTTGTGGCTTATCAGACATCATCAGTCCATCCGGTAGCAGGTCAGGCTTACGTGGATGGTGTCTGTCTGAGAGAGCCTTTCGATGAGAAAGGTCGCACAGATTATGAGCAGGTTCCGTCTGTTGTCGGCTTCATCTGCAGTAGCAAAGGCAGTCAGCAAAGAAGTGACTAGCGCCGAAGATATGGTTGACCATGCGGCAACCTAAATCAGGAGAAAAAAACATGGTTGCTGGATGCTATTTGATGAGCTTTAAAACGAATCGTTAAGCAGGGAAGAAAGCAGATAAAACAAAAACATTGCTCTCGGCATATATCATTCAAAAATTTCAAGCGTGTAGATCTGTGAGTACGGGTGGTTTGTGTACCTTCTCCCTTCTCCCCCCCCCTCCCTGGGGTCATGGTTTGGGCTAAGGTCAGTGTTGGAATACGGAGGAAGCACGACTTATTTGGATGTCCCCTAAACAGGACACGGGGATGGGAATGCCTCGCTCAATTAATAAAGGTGGTCCTACGCATACTTCCGGCAGGGCTAAATATTCATGTGCCCTAACACCAACATTAACCTCAAAGTAAACCTAAACTGAACCCTAATCGTAATCCCTTAACCTAAACGATAACTCTACAGTTGCCACTACTCATAACCTTGACCCCAACTCGGATTTACGCCAACATTCATAAAAACGCGAAACAGAATCCATATTTATCGGCAATCAACGGAAAACACTAAGAATCGAAAGGTTTTCACCATTATTTCAAGAACGATGTGAACCGCATTGTAATCGAACACCTGAACAAATTACAAATGAATGTAACGGAAATAAACTTCTCTCAATGTACACAAAATGGTGCGTTTACGATTGCAACGGACAATTTCACTGGTCGGCATACCCACATGTGAGCTTATGACCTCCCAATGGGCACAATCAAACGAAAATCTGGTTGCCTTAATACAACGTATCTCAAACAATGTATATACTGAAGAAACGACAAGCAATTCTCGTAAAACCATGTTGTAATACATATTCAAACTTTCGGCGGATTGGTAACGGTCGCATTTTGCATTTGGCCTTACAATCTATCTCCCAGACACTTAAAAAGAACTATTTTCAAACATGATTCTACCTGTGCTGCTTTATTCACTCTGTTTTTTTTTTACACGAACAAGCTTTCTCTACATTTCAAACTAGTGATTACTTGGTAAACTAGTCTTCTCTTTTATGGAATTTTCCACTTTTTAAAAAAGTTTTCATTTCTAAATAAGATAATATTAAACTATAAACCGAAATATGGTTTATTTTTTAAAAAGAGATTGCCCTTTTACTGTTTTGAGAGTTTTTTGGGGCGCAGTGGGAGCTGATTGTATACAAGAATTCGTGACATTTTATAAGCTAGGCAACTGATTATACTTTGTCCTGCAAAGTGGAAAAGATTGAAACGGTCGGGTCTTTTCCCTGTCGCAATACTTCTCCGTCTGGACGGGTGACAAGCAAAGAACTGACAAGCGAGCTTTAACTTACTGGTGTATAACCATCAATCGGCATCCGTGTTTATTATCAGAAATGATAGATTGGGTGTTGAGTGTTTGAATACTACTGATTTCTTTAGCTCTTGAGAATATCGGGAGAGGATTACTTATATAGACCCCCCAAAGAAGACACGGGGAAGGAACACCCCACCCAAGTACTAAAGGTGGCTCGGAGAATAATGTCCGGAAGTGTTAATATTCCCGTGTTCTAATCCTACCACCATCCCGACATTAGCCCTAAAGTAAACCTAAACCGAGGCCTACTCTTAAACGTTAACCTAAACCATAGCTCTGCTGTTACCAGCAACCCTAACCTTTACGCTAAACTTGACCCTAACTCGCATTTACGCCAACATTGATAAGAACGTAGAACAGAATCCGTATTTATGGACAATCGACTAAAACATTGAAAATCGTAAATTGTCCACCACTATTTCAAGGACTATCTGAACCCTGTCGTAATCGAACACCCGAAATTATTAGAAATAAATGTGGCAAAATGAAACTCGTCTTAATGTACTAAAAATGTTACGTTTAAGATTGCACCTGACAATTCCATTTTAAATGATTGGTCACTGGCCGGTAGGTCCATAGGTGAGCTTATGAAATATCTTAGTAATATGACGTCCCAATCGGCTCAACCAGGCGAAAATCTGGTTGTCTTAATCCAAAGTATCTCAATCAATGTATAAACGGAAGAAAGAATGGGCAGTTCTCGTGAAACCATGTTGAAACGCATTCTTGAACTTTCGGCAGTTTGATAACGGCCGTACTTTACATTATGCGTTATATGGAACAATTTTTCCGCCAAAAGCTAACAAAAGGACTGTTTTCAAATATAATTGTACTTGTGCTGCATGTTTCACTCTGCTTTATGCACGAACAGGCTTTCTCTACATTTCAAATTTATGATTACTTTGTAAAAAGGCTTTTGCCTTTTATGGAATATTCTGCCTTTCTAAAAATATTTGCCATTTCTAAATATGATAACATTAATTTATAATATTCTGAGTCTGCGCATGACTCAGACTATTGTACCATTACCTATGATTAAGGATTCCCGATGGAATCCAAAACGTCAGGACAATTAATTTATAAACCAAAATACGCCTTCTTTTTTTCAAAAAAAGATCGTTCTTTTCTTTTACAGTGGTAAGACTTTTGGGGACGCAGTGTGGGCTGATTGGGCGCAACAGGAATTTTCGAACTCAATTCGTGACATTTCATAAGATAGGCAAATTACTGTAATTTTTCGTACAAAATGGAGAAGCTGTAAACGATCGGCGGGTTTGTACCCTGTCGCGATACTTCACCGTCTGGACGGGCTTCAAGCAAAGAGCTGACAGGTGCGCTTAAACTTGCTGGCGTGAAACTATCGGTTGGCGGTCGTGTTTCTCATCGGAAAGCATTAATTAGGTGCTACGTGTTTGTATAACGCTAGTTTTCTCAGCCTCTGAGAATAGTGGGAAAGGATTACTTATATGGCCTCCTAAACACAACACGAGTGGGGGGGCGAGGAATGCCCGGCTCAAGTAATAGGGCTGGCCCTACGCATGATTCCACAAAGTGTTAATATTCCCGTGTCCCAAACCTAACAATAAACCTAAAAGCAAGTGCATATTTCGCAGTGGTTGACGGGTTTCAACACAAATATACACTTACAATTTCGTTCTACGCCTAT